GGAATCCTGGGAATTAAAGTCCACACATCTTCAAGTGGCCAAGGTTGAGAAACACTGATAAACTACCAATGCCAAGAAACAAGCCAACAACCTAGAACCTCCTAGAACACTTCTACCAATACCAACGGGGCAAGCCACTAGAATATAAAAATAAGAGCAAACCCCATTCCCTTCTAGCACTGATGACATCACCTAGTTTGGTAATGAAACATCTGCAAGAAAACCACCAAGCTCAGAGCGCACCAAGGGTACCACAAGCATAGTACATTCAATCTCATCAGGCTGGCTTAGTTTATTGCCCTTCGCTTTACATTTATTGCTCTCTGGAGCAATAGAAGAGATTCATTCTCTCTTTGACAACCCTTCAGTCATTTGAAGAGTGCCATCATTATCTCCCCAGTTGTATTTTCCATTAGTCAGACGTGCTCAGATCGTTTAATATTTCCTCACATGGCTTGGTTTGCAGACCCATCTTGGTAGCCTCCTCTGAACATTTCCATGGTCCCTTCTGAATTGTGGTGGCCCAAACTGGACACAGTATCCCAACTGGGGTTTGTCTGCTCATGAGGGAGAATACTAGACATGTGGATATATGTCATACTACATTTAGCTCTAGCAAACCCCACACATGTATTTCATACAACTATTTGTAAGTTCTGTACAGATAATAAGTACTTGGTGGTAGTGGTGTTTTTTTTTAAAAAAAAAAAAATCTGACCAGGGCTGATTGCAAAGTTCTGAACAAAGTATTTATTTATTTTTTTCAGAGAAAACTCAGAAATTCTGACCACGCATGCTTGTGCACATAGAACATTTGGATAATCACAACATAATGTGACCGTTGAATAATGATGCGTTACTCGATCTCTCAATAACATAATTAAGTTGAAATCTGACCGAAAGCATCCGTGAAGTTTAAAAGAACAGCATAGTTTTCCATCATTTTTGAGGTATCAAAAAATCAAGTAGAGGTAGTCCTCAACTTATGACCACAATTGGGATCAGAATTTCTACTGCTAAGCAATAGCACTTAAGACTTATATACCGCTTTACAATGCTTTACAGCACTCTCTAAGTGATTTACAGAGTCAGCCTATTGCCTCCAACAATCTGGGTTCTCATATTACCCACCTCGGAAGGATGGGAGGCTGAGTCAACCTTGAGCCTGATGAGATTTGAACTGACAGATTGCAGTCAGCCGGCAGTCAGCAGAAGGAGCCTGTAGTACTGCACTCGAACCACTGCGCCACCACGGCTGGTTGTTTAAGTGCATTGTGCCTGATTTTATGATCTTTTTTGCAATTGTTAAGAAAATCACTGCTGTTGTTAAGTGAAGCACATGATTGTTAAGCAAATACGATTTCCCACATTGACTAGGAAGCCAACTAGGGAGGTCCCAAATGGTGATCACAGGATCCCAGGATGCTGCAACCGTGGTAAATACATCCGATTGCCAAGCACCCAAATTTTGATCACGTGGCCCATAGTGATGCTGCAGTGATCATAAAGGCAAGGACCAGTTATAACTCACGTTGCTAAATGGACGGTTGTAAGTTGAGGACTACTTATACATCATTCAAATCCATATTTTTTATTTGCTTTTACAATCAAAATACCATGATTTCTAAGTTTACACTGCTATGGTTGGAGAAAGACAGTGGAGGATAAAACCACAGTATAAATAATGAAGTCAATTTAATGACATATATGTCTCAATTCACCTTGCACATCAACCATAACTTCCAAAAAACCCAGAGAACCACATCAAGTGAATGGCTCAGTAAAGGATGATAGGAAAATGCCTTGATTACTTAGTACGTAATTATATTCTGCTTACCAAGTACAAAATAAATGTAATCCAGGGGATAAAAACTTTGGGCACTCCACATAAAACCTCTCAAGAAGGCAGCAGTTTTTATTTGCACATCCTGGCATTCGCTGTGAAATTTCCCACTACTATCAAATAGTATTTCTGAGTTTGATTTACTGTGCCTTCAAAACTACAGATTTCTTACCCAAAATTCTTATAAAGCATTGAAACTTTTGGAAGGATCCAGAGATCTTCAAATCGGGCCTTATCAATACAGCTACATACAAAAACAGGGTGAAGTATTTCACTTTAAAGGAGAATAGTTGTAGCTCAGGGCTAAAATGACTGATGATGTTACCCAGTTTGGGTAATGAAACGTTTGCAAGAAAACCAAGCTCAGAGAGCACCAAGGACCCCGTATTTCACTTCGTTTTGAACTGCTTTTAAGTGTTTCAGATGCTTTGAAATAGACCAACCTTAGGATACAAGCAGAGATGAAAGAACTGATTAATTATAATGATCAAATTAGCCATTATGGTTAGAGCAGGGCTGCTATGTACCCCAAAAAAGCAGAATTTGTGCCCTGAATTCCCCTTTCAATACACTTAGTAAAAAAAAAAATTAACAGCCTCTTCTTCCCTGCTTTTATTATTGGCAATTACTGACAAACGGCTAGCAGAGCATTATAATGTCTAATTTTCAGTATATAATATTCAATATGTTTTTGCAGGTATGGAAAGGAGCAGGCCAATCTAACTAAGTACGGATCTTAAAATAAATAAAAAAATACCAGTAAATGAAACGTTTCATTACAAAAAAAGAAAAACCTAATCAAATTCACTTTTATATTTTTCTTGGTGACCCTATTTTAATAGCAGAAGCTATCCAGCTATTTTTTTTTCACTCACTTTTGATTCCCTTTTGCATGCTGGCAATATACCATGTAACAGTATCTTTTATACCTTCTAGTTGTCACAAAGCAGCTGAGAGGCGTTTATTTGTCTTTCTGTTTCTTGCCTTAAGGGCCTCTTCATTAGGGAAAGGTGCAATTGGTCGATAGGTTTACAGCTGTACACGCCTATATTTTTTCTACTTCAAACTTTCTGCTGGGACAACTAAAACAATCACAGAGGCAGAAAATTTCCAGCACCTTGACAATCTCTTGGTGCCTGGATTTCAAATTTCAGAATTCCTTAGCCAGCATGGCCACGGATGAGAATTTTGGGAACTGAAATCTACATATCTGGATATTGGCAGGTTGAAAAACTCTTGATTTAGAGCGACTGTCTAGGATCATATTATTGACTAAGGACATTATGAGAAAGAGATAATCTTTTGGTAAGAGCAGACTGATTTTTGACTTGCAGATGGTATCCAAGAAAACACTGGTTGGCTTGGGGCTAATCCAGGGGTGTCCAACCTTGGGAACTTTAAGAACAATGGACTTGTCTGTGGAGATTCTCAGTGCAGAATTCTCAGTTAAACCCCAAGTGGCCTCAAAAACTCCCAGAGAGTGCAAACGACCATATGACTCCAAAGCAATATGATCCTTCCAAACATCCTCCGCCACCTTCCTATCAGCACTAATCCTTCCATTGTCCCACCATCCTGCCAGAATCAATGAAGATTCTTGAATGAGAAGCGAAATGTCTTCTTCTTCTTAAAGAAAAAAACCAGTCCAGTTGCCTTTTGAAAAAGCACCTTTGAGGCAACTGTGAACTTCAACTCCCAGAATTCCCCAGCCACCCGTGCAGGGGGATTCTGGGAGCTGAAATCCCCAACCCTTAAAGTTGCCAAGGTTAGAAAACTCCTATTCTAATCCTTAGGCGGAGCAACTGCACTGAAACCAGTGAAGCCAATTCATGTTCATTTGATTCCCAGAAAAAAAAAATTAAAAGTCTAAGCAGATTTCTTTTTGAAGACACTTTAAAAAAAGAATTTGTATAATGATGTCAATGAAGAATAGGCCTTCCCACACCAGGTCCAACTTTGCTGCAGGAATCCCTGCCCATGGAGGTTAGTTGACTGGATCAAGCAATCCCTTTAATAACTTCTTCCCATTGATTATTCCATGAGAAAACCAGAATATCAACTATGCATGTTTCTTTCATAATTGTGGTATTTTTGTGGGTAAATTAAATGGCTGATGGGCCAGATGGACTGATCTTTGTTCAATAGCTGTACAGAAGCTGAAGATTCAGTGTTCAAGTTACAAATACAGTTGCTGAGAACATCAATGTCTGGAAATGCCCTTAGTTTTACTCTTCTAAGTAACAATAAAAATGATAGTGGAGAAACAGAATATGAGTGTCTTTGATATTGATTAGATAAAGCTGGTTCTGTTTTAAAAACTCCCAAGGCTTTGGAAGGAGCATAATTTTTTTAAAAAAAAAACTATATGTAAGACAGGTTCTGTAACTGCTAAGCAAAGAGCTTTGTCTCATTTGTATTGCTCAACTGTTCCAAAGTCAAGAAAGAGAAAATTTGAAATGATCCTCCTACCCATTGAACTATAGTTTCTCCTTCTTCTTGATAAATTAGATACCCTTGACACCTGAGGTGGTAAATGTGGAAGTAAAGAAGATAAAACTAGAAAATTAATCTTTTGTTCAGCTATGAACCATGGGCACAAAGTCCCTAACATAGCACATACTACATGTATGGAGACTGAAAGTGGCAGAATTCCCAGGCAAAAGGTCATTGGATTCTTCAAGAAGTAACTTTCATTCTTTCCTCCACTTACTACTCCTGACTCTTTCTTATTTCTCCATATTCTCCAGCATCTTTTCTTCCATATAGGTCTTCCAAAAACCTATTATCAGTCTTTGAAAGGCACCATCAACTCATTATATCCTACAATCTTTCTTTGCAGTTCTATCAAATGCAAAAAATATATACTGACACCAGCAGTGGGATCCTACAAGTTCCACTGCTGGTTTGGTGATTGCGCGCACACCTAATGCACACGCGCAGCTTTCCCCACACCAGCTGTGGCCTGCCAATCAGCTGAGAGGATAAGGAAAAGCGCAGGGCAGGTGCGAGAGCAGATCCTGCATTTTTCTCTTCTTTCTCCTCTCAGCTGATTCATAGGCTTTTTTTTCCAACTACTGGTTTGGCTGAACCAGTAGCATGCCACCATTGAACCAGTAGCATACCACCATTGACTGACAACCCACCCACCCACCCCCAGCCAGCCCCAAATTAAAAGTTGCAAAATATTCTAGTTGCAATAACACCAGCCAGCAACCTCTCCCAATACACAGGCCTTGTAAACCACTTTGGGGATTCCTTGGTGCAGATTGAAAAGCAGTCTATAAATGCCGTCCTTAAAAAAAAAAGTGACATCAAATGTAAAATTTCAAAAGGAAACTCTTGAGCACAGGGAGAGAAATGTTCTTATATGTTGAAATCATGGGAATTGGGAGAAAGTTTTCTTACTTGTTTATGTACATTTTTTACCACTCAATATTTAGTTTGACCCACAACGTCATACAAGTAGTAGTACATCATGGAAGAATGAACTTTAAAGGTGATAATTCCCTATTTTAAAAAAAAACAACTGCAAAAATTTACCACAGGAGGAAAAAAATGGCTGGCCACACATCACAACTTTTTTAAAAAAAGAGGCCATGAGTGTATAGGCTGTGAGCATTTTTTGATGTTACATGCTTATGGAAGGAATCCCAGGAAGACCAAAGATCTCATACTGTGGTGTCTTGTCACTGCAAACATCACAAGGGTCAGGACACCTGCATGTCCAATGGTGTATATGAGGCAGAGATGAAGGATCAGGATTCTTGTCTTCAGGACCAATCACAACATGGGATGAGAAGTTCAGGACATGATGGAATCTCCCTATGAAAGTCTACCTCGAAGTTCAAGAACCGCCATTCTAGATTCTTCCTGCAACCAGGAAAAGGGCTGCTGTACCAAAGCAACAAACCCCGTCCCAGCATTATTTAAATTTGCACCGTGTTTGTTTCAGGCCGTTTGTTTTTAGCTTGGGATCCACAGAGGCTTTTTTGGGAGGAGTGCAATTATTTGCCTTTCCATTCTTGGGATTTGGGCATATATGGGCTGGTAACCCCTTAAGCGGGACAGTGGAGCCATGGAATGAAGAAGATGGCTTGGGAGGTCTCATGTTACCAGCTCCATGGATCATGCAGGATTCCTGGATCTCAAAAGAAGGCGTACTGGCCAAATGCTGCTTGACGGCAGGCCGTTTTTTGGTCTCATTCTTTGCTCCAGATGGTCTCCTCTGATGGGCGGATGAGCTTTGGGTGGATCCAGTGGCCTTCAACTGACTCTCAAGGGAGGTCACCGGGTTGGTTTTTTCCCCGTGAAAGTCCTTTTTGAGACCTGCATTGGGGAGTCTTGGAATGTTTCCGGGGAGAATCGACTGTTTATTTGCTAAAGGGCTGTGCAATAGTTTGCTTTTGCCAGAACTTTTCAAGGACCGGAGGACGCTGGGGGCAGTCTGAACCCGAGCTTTGGTTATTTTTCCTTTCTCAGTTTGCACAGTTTGCATCTGCAGCCATTCCAGTTCCAAAAGACGATCCACGTACTTCTCAAGGAATCCCGTCGGTTCCGGCCTGGGTTCCGATTTGCACTCGGTGTTGATGAATGCAGCCAACCCTTTCAAGTCCCAGGTGTTAAAAGGTGGCGGGAGGAAGTCTGGGTAATGGTAGTCTGGTTGCTTCCGTTGCGTCTCGAAGTGGTGTTCGAAGCAATCCGGATCGATTTCCTCTGCTCGCAGATTGAGCTCTGGGGGCGTGCAAGGCGATGGAGGGATGGGAATTCTTTCAGAATCTGAAAGGTCACTGGCATCGTCTTCCTCAGAGTCTTCCTCTTTCATCATTTGCAAAGATCCGAAGTCCAGAAACATTGCCTCAGTCATAGCCTTCGGACAGGAAAGACCGCTAGGACCTGCTTCCTCCACCTCCTCCCCAAAGTTTCTTTCCAAATTGCCTTTCTGTCTGCAATAAAACCTCTGGATCATCGCATCTTCTGTCCCGCTGAAAGGACTACATGAGGCATCTTTAAACGCAGGAAGAATTTTGTTGTCCCCGGCCTCATGACTTTTTCTAACCAGAAGTTCTCTTTTCGACCTGGCCACTCTATGTGAGGAAGTACAAGTGTTTGTGTTAGTACAAGTTAGTACACAAGTGTTTTCATAAAAAGGAAACGCTTTAAAAAGATCCTAAAACAATGTATCTGACTCAACCCTAAGTCACTCAGGAGCCTAACATTATAAAAGGGAAAAAGAGAAAACACAAAAACGCACCAAGAGATCAGCAAGGCAATGACATCAACAAACATGAGGGGTCTTTGTTGCTCTCTGAGCTTGGTTGTTTTCTTCAAGATTAGAGTTAGAATAACAGAGAATAACATTATCCAAAGCACCTGAGGGCAGGACAAGAAGCAATGGGTGGAAACTAATCAAGGAGAGAAACAACTTAGAACTAAGGAGGAATTTCCTGACAGTCAGAACAATTAATCAGTGGAACAACTTGCCTCCAGAAGTTGTATATGCTCCAACACTGGAAATTTTTTAAAAGATGTTGGATAACCATTTGTCTGAAGTGATGTAGGGTTTCCTGCCTAGGCAGGGGGTTGGACTAGAAGACCTCCAAAGTCCCTTCCAACTTTGTTATTCTATTCTATTTCTCCTGCCCTGCTCCATCTGCCTATCTGTCTCTCTCCCCACTAATCTCTGTCCTCTTGGTTGTCCAGCACTCTACCACCACCCGATGCCCTCAGCTGACCTTTCGCCATCTTTTCCCTCCTACTGATGACAAATGTGCCCAGTGAAGGCAGCAGTTAACTTTGCAAGGCCTTTGCAACACTTTGAGAAAGCCTCGTGAAGGGCGAGCAGCTTTGCAAAGTTCACTCTTATTCTAGAAAAAAGTTCCAAATTTCCTATTTTATAATCTAATGACTTTTAATGTTTTTTTTTTTCCCCCAAGGGAAAAAAAGATGAAAAGAAACATCAACTGGCAACTTTTCACCAGTGGCTTCTAATTCCTGAACCTAAGTATACAAAATAAAATAGGTGTAACTCTTTTTCAGATATCGACATTGATTACTGGTTATTGCCATTACAATGCATAACACAAATCACATGGTTCCCTAGGATTAAAGGCATAGTAGTAGATGTTTCCACCGGGACAAATTATGTTCAGGGTGCTTAAAAGTTCGACTCATCCAAAAGAAGAGTCACCAATTTTGATCTTTCAGATACAGTCATTTTGCACTTCATGGAATGATTCTCTAACTCACGGGTGTCAAACTCGCCGTATCACGTTGCCGTCATGTGACATTTCATGACATTTTTCCCATTTGCAGAGCTGGGGTGGGCGTGGCCTGCACGTTAACACATCTGGCCCACGGGCCGCCAGTTTGACACCCATGCTCAAACTTTTATGACTTTTCTTTCAACGGGAATCAAGGTGTTTTGGTGAGAAAGCAGCGGAGGTGGTATTCAGCAGTTTCTGACCAGTTCTGGAGAACTGGTAGCAGAAATTCTGAGTAGTTTGGAGAACCAGCAAATGACCCCTCTGACTGGCCCTGCCCCCATCTATTCGCTGCCTCCTGAGTCCCAGCTGATTGGCTGGGTCTCCTTTGGTTGCCCTGCACAGGAGAACAGAGCTGGAAAGTAGGTTAGTGGGGTGGGGAGGGAATGGGGATTTTGCAGTATCCTTCCCCTACCACACCCACCAAGCCACACCCACAGAACCAGTAGTAAAAAAGTTTGAATCCCACCACTGGAAAGCAGGGCCTAAAAACCTGCATCCTTGACTTACAGGTACTCCTCGACTTAACAACACTTTGTTTAATGACCATTCAAGGTTACAACAGCACTGAAAAAAAGTGACGACTATTTTTCACACTTATAACTGTTGTAGCATCCCCAAGTGATCAAAATTCAGACACCTGACAACTGACTCATATTTATGATGGTTGCAGGGTCCCGGGGTCATGTGATCACCTTTTGCAACCATCTGACAAGCAAAGTCAATGGGGAAAACCAGATTCACTTAACAATTGTGTTACTAACTTAGCCACAGCAGCGATTCGCTTAACTGTGGCAAGAAAGGTCATAAAATGGGGCAACGTTCACTTAACAGCTGTCTCACTTAGCAGCAGAAATCTGAGGCTCAATTGCGGTCATAAGTCAAGGATTAGGGAGCCTCGGCGGCACAGTGGTCAGAGTACAGTACTGCAAGCTACACCTACTGCAATTTGGCAGTTCAAATCCCACCAGGCTCAAAGATGACTCAGCCTTCCATCCTTCCGAGGTGGGTAAATTGAGGACCCAGATTGTTGGGGGGGCAATAGGCTGACTCTATTACTCTGTACGACTCTGTAAACTGCTTTGAGAAGGCTGTAAAGCACTATAAAGTGGTATATAAGTCTAAGTGCTATTGGTATTACCTGTACTAAGATGCTTAGTGCCGCATTCTGGAATCAGCGCTCAAGATCACCCAGTGCTCTGAACTCTTATCCAGAAGACTTAAAGAGTCCTCTCATCTGGTGGCATCTATTTTCAACTGTGGTGATCATTATATCAGGGTAAATCAGTGATCAAGACAATCAAAGTCTTTTCAGTATTAATGCTTAAGGAAATTAATGCCAGGAAATTGGCACCATCCTATCAGAACTGAACAGGATGTTAACCAGTGATCACAGAGGTTGCATTTTCAACTGATAAGTACCTCAATTAAATTTTCATCTCCCATCCTTTTTAAGGTTATTCTATCTCCCTTTATCCATTCCCCAATCCCCGTGAAAAACAAGTCTACTTTTTATTTCAAAAGTGCAATCATTTTTTACAAAAGAACTTCACCTGTTTGGTTGATGCCCTTCGTAAACTTGTTTTTTCTCTTTGTATTGAGCTGTTATCTGTCTGTCTGTGGCCTCTACAGGAGCCTAAAAGAAATGAATTAACGTTTAATTGTAATTGCAGTGGTAGGGAAGACATGAGCGTCTAAGGATAATTTGCATTCAATAAAAATATAAGTGGTCTGACCTTTTCTGCAATCGCAGATGTGTTTTTCGCTGGCTTCTTGGAAGAAGGTTTTAGAAACGATGATTTCTTTAGTTCTTTTGTGCTTGAGTGGCTCTTTCCTCCACTGGAACTAATTGATTAAAGAAAGGAGTTTTGTCAAAGATGGATGTTACATGGGGAAACAAAAATTACACCTTTATTTTAACAGGACAAATTTACACATATATTGTTCTTTTGCCTTAGAAATCTCTTCACTTTTTTTCTGGTGATTATTCTCATAAAAGCTTATTAAAATACACAGCGTTTTCATTGAAGCAAATCCATTTCTCTTTCTTTCCTGTAAAATGTGTATCCATGTGAATTAAATGGGTGGGCACTGATAGGAGGACACTGGTGGTAAAACATTTACAAAATTTCTAAACTTCCATTTTCTAATGCATGATTAGATCAAGGTCTCTCTCCCCCACCTTCAAACAAATAAATATCTGACATTAAAAAGAGAATAAAGGAAAGAAGGTTACTATTTTCAAGTCTCCAAACAATCTCCTGTGCAATCTGTTGTATTATATTTTAAAAGTATAAACCTGTAAATGGGACATTATCAGCTCATGGAATGAACCCAACCTTTGACTGAGTAATCTGTAAGGAATCAATAACTCAGAAACTACTGTACAAGGCATAGGGCTTTGTTAGTTGACATCTACCTGCCTGGAAAATTGGATCCTGCAAGATTGGTAGACTCTGGATTCCTTGGATTAAATAAGGTCATCTATCAGAATTCTATTAGAAAAAAACACACCATTGGATAAGCTGGATTCACTTAATAACCGTGTGATTCAGTGAATGACCATCTGATTCTCTTAGCCATCATAAAACGGTTGTAAAATCAGACATGGCCAAATGGTGACCTGCTTAACAACTTACAATCAAAATTCTGGGCTTCATTTGCGGTTATACATCAAGAACTACCTGTATTTATTTGTGTGTGTGTGTGTTTTATTGATTTTATTGCAATTATTTTATTTCATTGATGTGAGTCACCCAGAGTCACTGATAATCAAGTGGTATACAAGTTTATCATCATCATCTAGATTAACTGGTTTCAGACCTAATTCTCCTTCTGGTCTATAATTTCTGCCAGGAAACCTGTTGCAAGTGGGATTCATATATCCAGGACTGTGTTAAGCCCTGGATATATGAAGCATATATGAGCATAGGGACCCTATACTAATCTGTGTATGTTAACCCTTCAATGCACCTTGTATCCTATAAATACAGCAACATATTTGTTACATTTTACTGCATTTTTAATTAATGCAAATATATGTTTAATTTAATCGTCCATTTATGTTTTTATTGCTGTGGGTAGTTGTCATAGGGAGTACATTGCTTTGCCCAGGGTCCATAAGACAGCCCTGCATATATCCAAGTGCTTTCCTCATAAAATACCAAGGAAAGACATGAAGGAGTTTTTTAAGTACGGTTTTGCAACAAATGCCACCTTAGCTTGTTTAGAAATCTAAGTCAGGTCAGGGTTGATCTGTGCTTGGATGGGAGACCATTAGGAAATACCAGAAATGTAGACTAGGTTGGGAAAAGTGAAGACAATCCATGGCCATATTAAGCAAAAAAAGACAACCAAACCCCAAATCTCCCAAGTTTATAAGTCAAGCCAGACCAGAAGATTAATACTTTTTAGGTTCACTTATATTCTTGTGAGGGTTTGCAAGGGCAAAGGGATGAATCTCTCACCTTTCCGAGACTTTAATTTCCTGAATTCCAAGCTGCATAGCCTCCAATTCCAGGAATTGCAATCCAGCAACATGGAGGAAGCCAGATTCAGAAAGACAGGTTTCCAGGCTGGCTGGGGAATTCTGGGTGTGGAAGTCCACAGATCTTAAACTTGCCAAGACTGAAGAAGATTGCTGTATATATTAGCCACTGCTACTATCTGGGAGGCATAAGCACTGATGCCTTTGCAGGTATCCCATAAGATGTTCTGTTTTTGCAATCTTCAACATTGCAAAACCCCTTTTAGACCTTAAACTTCATCTGGCAATTTATTCCATAATATAAACGCAGGGTACCTGTTGCTTGGTTTTTTTTTTTTTTCACACGTTCTTCTGAACATGGACCAGCTATTCCCCTCCCAGTACTAACAAGGTTTCTGCAGAATATAGAGATTATTTTAGAATATATCTCAAAACAACTAGGTTGGCATCTATCACTTAGCAAAAAATTTCCTATACTCAGCGGTTTAAAATAGCCAGGAATGCAAGCATCAAAAGAAAACCCCAGAAAGGGATGCCACGGGGGAAATTGTACTGACAATTCATTATTTCGCCCCCGAACTTCGGGAAAACACAAGCCATCCACCTGCATGCATCTTCCAAAACGAGGGATCCTTACGTTACCATTCCGCTGCCTTCGTAGGTTTCATGAACAAGGTTTTGCAGGCTCCCTCTGTGCAGGGAGACGGGATAACCTCCGATGCCCGGTCCCATTATATGGGGGGGAGGAAATGCGCTTTAGTTTTTCTCCGGGTCGTTGCAAGCGAGCCAGCCCCCAAATCAGCGGGCGACCCCTCGCCGCATCTTATAGAAGAGCCGCTGCAAGCCCTGGCCCGGTTCTCCGCTTCATTCCTCCGCTCGGGAAGCTGCGTTGCATCGCAGCTGACGGCTGGCATCGGAGCAGAAGTCCGTTCCGCGGCGGCTTCAGCCAGCGCTGGCTCAGGGGATCGCCGCCCGCCATCGTCCACCGCTATCTGCCGCCGCCGCCTCCCCCTCCCCGCGAAGCCGGCCCGGCCGAGAAGCCCCGAAGACGCGCTCACGACCTCCCGCGACCGTCCCCTGGGGGGAAGCTCAGCCAAGTCGCCCGCAAAGCATTGTGGGCGGCGGGGGAGACATGCGTCGCCCCCAGCGGGTCGGAGATGGGCCCGCGCAATCTCTGCTGCTAAGCCTTCATTCGCTTAACCATGGTTTACCGAAGGAGGCGAGCATTACGTAACCAGGCAGCCTGGGAACAACGCTCCATTTTCCACCCCAACGACCTTGGTTGGGGCTGAGAACGACTAACTTGTCATCCAGGGAACTTTGGCAGCCAGGATTGGACGGAGGGGGGAGGGGGGAGGCGGCGCAAATGACATGGGTTTTGTCATTTGTTAACTAACATAATTACTTTGTATTTTAATTTATTTTCTCTCGTTTAAAATGATGTTCAGGTTTGTTAGCTTTTAACATTCCTAGATAAACAAGCGGGAGACTAGCTCCAGAGAAGAAAAAGTTTCCTAGTATAAATTGAGGTCTGGTATTAGAATTTGAATGTTATAATTTTAGAATGCACAAATTCAGTGTTTAATGAGATTTCATATCATAATAGTAAGATTTAAAGCGATTGGCAATCATAGGGGGAATGTTGCTTCTTAAGAATGTTGGAAGAGAACATATGAAATTGTAAACAAGACAGACGAAAGTATAAGTACAATGAATAAAAAGATATAGAAATTTAGGTAAAAGAAATACAATTGAATAAGAAGAAAATGAGATAACCTATATATACAAATCCATAGCAGATACAAACAAGATATCAAAGAGTTTGGAATCTATAGCAAATTACAACACTTAGATAAAATCTTATTAGGATCAAATAAAAAGAATATCTCCAAATTTTATAAATATTTATTGGAGGTAGAATTAGAGCAAGAGATAGTGAAAGGGAACATGATAATGTGGAGTAGGAATATTGGAAGAAGCATTACATTAACAGAATGGGAAAAGATCTGGAATAGAATCATTAAGATTATGAAATCCGCGGCGTACAAAGAAAATATGTATAAAATGTTATATAGATGGCACTTACCCCCTTCGAGGTTAGCGAAAATGAACCCAAACTCTAGTCCAAAATGTTGGAAATGTAAAAACATAGAGGGAACCTACTTTCATATGTGGTGGACCTGTAAAGAAGCCCAGAAATACTGGCAAAAAATTAGAAAATGGCTGGAGGAAATAACCAAAGAACAAATCGAATACAAACCAGAGTTCTTCCTACTAGGGATCTCTGATAAACATTTTCCTAAAAAGACGAAATATATAATAATTCATATTCTAACTGCGGCCAGATTAGCATTTGCCCAGTGCTGGAAATCATCCTATTTACCTACAGATCAAATGGTCATTCAGAAAATATGTGATTGTGCAGAAATGGACAATTTAACCATAGCTCTTAAAAATAAAGAGTCTTCAGCATTTGATAATAATTGGAATGCGTGGTATAATTGGTTATATCAGAGATAAACTGTTCAATGAATAATGGGTAATTTAAGCATAAATAGTGATAAGATGTGTATATTTAAAGTAAGGTAGGAGAATTGGATCTTGCAGACTGTCAAAGAGGATATCTGTCTGGTTTTAATGTATTTTCTTTTTTCTTCCGTCTCGTTTTTTTTCTTTCTTTTATACTTCTTTTTCTCCTTTTTCGGTCGCAAGACCGAGCGTTTTTTTTTTTTTTCTCTTTCCCTTCTTTCTTTCTTCTTTTCTCTCTCTGTTGCATATGCAATGTTGTTATGTTTTTTTTTAATTGTAAATTCAATAAAATTTATTAAAAAAAAAAGAAAATGAGATAACCATAAAAGAAAATTAAGAGAAGTAAAGGGAGAAATACTGAGAAGTTGGAAAAAGAGTAATAAAATATGAAGTTGAATACATAAGATGAATATGCATATGAAATTGTGTCTGTATGGAAATGTGATAACCCAGAACCATGCTGTACTCAAATAAGATGTTTTGTTTGTTTTGTTCAAACTCAATAAAACTTTATTAAACAATAAATAAATAAATAAATTGAGTTCTGGTTTAGCTCTTTTGAGAACTCCAAACAACTCTAACCTTAGACTGTCTACTATTGACCTCACCCCTTTCCTAAGAGGCCTGTAGGGGGTATGCATGTCCTATTGTTTCTTTTTATTTCTCTTATATGTATCCATTTCATGTATTCATAACTATGTTTATACTTATACCTGTGATCTAATAATTGCTTGACAAAATAAAATAAAGTTTTCCCCCTTACAATTACACCCCTTCTGATGCCGGACCTCGTTTTAATGACAGTGTGTGATATGCAAATGTGTAACATGTTTTGACTACATGTAACTGATTTCCTAGGCAAAGGGGAGGTTACGTTTACCATGTCCAGTCAATTTTCCTCTTGCATTTCCTTTGTCATGTTAATTATAAAAGAGAGAGAGATATCCCACTTTATTAGGGTACTCCAATAAACTGCTTTTAAATGATCTTCCAACTCACTTGCTTATTGGGAAGGTAAACTGAGGGAGAACCTAGGGCCAGATTTGGCTTTCAAGGATGAACTTTACTTACTTAGTAAGTAAAATCCTTAGTAAGACCACACCTAGAGTACTGCATCCAGTTTTGGTCACCACACTATAAAAAAAAGATGTTGAGGCTCTAGAAAAAGTACAGAGAAGAGCAACTAGGATGATTAGGGGACTGGAGACTAAAACATATGAAGAACTGTTACAAGAACTGGGCTTGGCTAGTCTAGTGAAGAGAAGGACCAAGGGGGTCATGATAGCAGTCTTCCAATATTTGAGGGGTTGCCACAGAGTGGAGGTTATTTTCCAAGCTATTTTCCAAAGCACCTGAAGGCCAGACAAGGAATAATGGATGGAACTGAACAAGGAGAGATTTAACCTGGAAATAAAGAGAAACTTTGTGACAGAACAATCAACCGATGGAACAGCTTGCCCTTGGAAGTTGTGGGAGCACCATCATTTAAGACTTTCAAGAAGAGAATGGACTGCCATTTGTCAGAAATGGCATAGGGCAGGGAGTTGGACTACATGACCTACAAGGTCCCTTCCAACTCTGATTATCTGTAAACCTGGATCTTCCAAGTTCAAGTCCAGCACTGTAATCATGTAATTGTGGATGCTTGCTGGGGGGAAGTGATGTCATGTGCCATGTAGTTGTGCAGATGAGGCCATTTGTGGGACTACTGGCTGCTACCCTAACGGCTTGCACTAGGTTGCTCTCTAGATACCTCTTTCTGGAATGAAGGCATCTGCCCCAGGATAATGATGCAAGATCGAATTTGGGTTGGTCACCGGAACCAGAGATTTACTCTTCCGAGCTGCCTCTTTCTGCTTAAATTGGTTGAGTTCATCATGCCCTGTGCTAAACTGTAAACCAGATTATAAAGGAATTAGCAGTGGATCTTGGCCGAGAGAGGAAGGATCCTTTAAGAAGGGGACCTGGAGATGCAATTACACAGTCCAGAAGTTGAACTACATATGAGAAAGAAGGTCAAAGTAACCATGCCTTAATTTTATTTTGTATAAGATGGGATACAGAGAAACTCTTGAGACACTTTCAAGATTGATGTCAGTAGACCCTACAGGAGTTTTAGGAATGCTGTTTTAATTTTGTATGGTATAAAAGGACAATCTTGAAAGGCTGTCCAAATTTATCCAATCAGGTAGTGGGTTTATTCATCAAACTAATTAAAACATTCATAGTAAATATCTTAAGAGGCTGGTTGTCATTGGAAATGCAATTTTGTGGTGACTAAGAGTCAACACTGACTTCGTGGCACATAATCTATGTAAATATCTAACATATCCATATTAAGACAATTGGGGCTTAGCATAATGCCAGTCCTAGCTATGCAAGAATAATCATTAGAGTATTCTTCTCTGGACAGGTAAACAGGTAATCAAAAATATTCTCTGTATGAAATATCAACCTTTAAATGGCTTGGATCAGAACCTAAATATGTTTCAAGCATTTAGGTCTGTACATGGCACACAACAGCACTGTTCTGATCAGCACGCAAGAGCTAAATGAGACTTTTATAGCTAAATGGTTTTGGGGAGGAGGAGAGAATAGGGAAAAAGCCAGGGTCATAGGTCTCCAGAATTGTCCCTTCTCCCCCTCAGCAAATTACCATCTCACTAGCTTCTCACTAGCTACCCAGCTCTGATGTTTCCAGTGCATTCCTTCTCTCCCCAAGCTGATAAGAGTGGCATATCCCACATACCTTTTTGTATGCCCATTTTTCCAATGCTTTTCCTTCTCTCCTTTTGACCAGGATGGAGGAGCCTGGCAGCTACGTTCTAGGAGGCACTTCCCATTCAATTTAGGCAATCAAAAATCCTCCAAGGCCTTTCATCCATATAAAAATAGAAACCGTATTTTAAGCAGCCATCCACAACCTGCTGTCTTTGAGATGATTTGGACTACAGCTTCCTTCATCCTCAACCCACATAGCCATATTTAGGGATTTATATTTTAGCACTCAATGGGCTCTAGGCTGGGGAATATTGATGCAGTAGACTTCTGAAGGATCTTCTGCAATGCACAGGAATTCTGAGCCATTGGGGGTAATAATAGTAAAACATACTTTTGCTTCTGTCTCCTGAAAGGGGTGGGGGGAATAAATGATAAATGAACAGCAAAACCTGGCAGATTACATGATTTACTTTCTGCATTTGAAATTCTCTGCCACCACAAAGGGCCACCTTAAAATCTAATTTTGATATGCTAATAGAGGAGGGAGCTAGTAAGGCAAAGAGTCACACAAACTGGAGCCAGACTTGAAGCAGTTAATCTGAATGTGTTAACCCCAGTTTAAAAACAGGGCGCTGCATTTTTTAAGAAATCGGTTGGAAAAAGATCCTTAGCAGAAAAGCTTAGGGTGTCTATCCAGAGAAGAGACCAGAGAAGTGAGAAAGTATGAAACACCATAGAACTGAAGGCAGCTCACTTCCAAGCATATTTAACTCCTTGGAGTTAAAAAGCCAACTTTTAGGTCGGTATGCTTCAAACTGCACCAAGTCTGGTAAAACACG